CACACACACACACACACACACACACACACACACACACACACACACACCATGAGATCACTTTGTCTCTACTTGAAATAATCTAGTATATTGCTGTCAAGGTTACTGGGACTATTTTGCTGAAGAGCTATGGGAAGACCAGCATGGTGATAGACACTTGTAATCTCAGCACTTTGGTGACAGGAGGATTGCTATAAGTTCAAGAAGAGTTCAAGGCTATATAGTCAAGAATCTATTTTAAGACAAAACCAACCAACCAAATACAAACAAACAACAGCAAAAACCCTAGGCAACAATTTAAAAAGTAGGGAGGTGAAACCATGGCTTGACAGTTAAGAGAGCACTTGCTGCTCTTCCATACAACCTTAGCTATTCCCCAGCTCTAGAGAAATCCAGTGCCCCCTTCTGGCCGCATGGGCATTGCACTCATGTGTGTATACACACATTAAGACACAAACACATTAACACAATAAAAATAAAATTTTCAAAACAGTACCACAACATTTTAGAAGAAATAGCAGCCAGTGGTAGATTTAACCCAGCAACAGCATGTGGCATACTCATGAGAACATGTATATAAAAGAGTTTTGGACACATGCCTTAGCCTGTCTTCTGTTGCAATAACAGAATACCCAGAATGCCATGACTTATGAAGTGTGAAAGTTTATTTAGTTCACAGTTCTAGAAGTTGTTGGGATTCTCCAGCAGGGAAACTGCATCTAAAGGTCTCATGCTGTTTCCCCACACGGTAGAAACCTGGAAGCTGAAAGGATGTGTGTATGCAAGAGACAAACCACAAATCACATCCTTGCTTGATCACAGTGACAGGTTCCAGTTCTTGAGACAAAGGCCACCATCTCTCTCAGTGTCTTCTCACCTCCCAAAGGTTCCACTCCCTCTCTGTACCTTCACATTGGGGACAAAAGTTCTCACACATGAGCTTGTGGGCAGCACAATTCAAACCACACTACTCTTTCATCTGTAGTTGATGCCTCTTCAACTTCATTTTACCATAAGGAAGGCATAGTATAATTTCCTACAAAGAAATCACTAAAAGCAAGCAAACAAACAAAAAACAAAAACAAACAAACAAACAAACAAAACCCTTTTCTGGTTATATTAGAAACACGTTTCTCTTCTTAACTGGAGTCAAGCCTTAGGGGCTGCTGTCTGTTATGTGGGTGTTTAGGCACTAACAATTTGCCTTGTGTTCAGCTACAAGGAAAACATCATGCGCCTCTCCAGCCTTCACAAGGATCGTCCTATAGAGCCTCTGGACCTGGCTGTGTTCTGGGTGGAGTATGTGATGAGGCACAAGGGGGCACCGCACCTGCGCCCAGCTGCCCATGACCTCACCTGGTATCAGTACCACTCCTTGGATGTGATTGGCTTCCTCCTGGCCATTGTGTTGACAGTGGTCTTCATTGTCTTTAAATGTTGTGCCTATGGCTTCCGGAAATGCTTTGGGGGAAAGGGGAAAGTGAAGAAATCACACAAGTCCAAGACCCATTGAGAAGTGGTGGGAAGCGAAGGAGACGTATTAGTGCATTATCCAATCAGTTGAAACTTGAAAATGAATGTTTATCCACGTTGTTTTTATTAGGGAAATAATTCGCCATACATCACACACCCAGAACATTTTTTTAAAAATAAAAACAATCTAATTGCTGACCACACCCATCAGGGAAGGTACTGGAATATGTGATCTGCTTCTCCAGTATCTTCAGTCTGGATAATCCTTTCCATCTGTTGGTAACTTACAGAAAGTTTGGCACTCTGCCTTCAGTGACAGCCCCTCAGTTTCCCCTGCTTCGGTCAGCTGATGGCTTCCTTCCCTGTTCTCAGACTGTTGTGACCTTCACCACTGTTAGCCATTCCTCATTGTGCTCATGCATTGTGGGTGGCATGGCCTTTGTAGCTGTGGGAGAAAAAGATGAGGCTCTGACACTGGTGACCTTGTGTTTGAGATAATAATCACTGCTGTGTCTGAATTTGATAAAAATTAAAGTATGTTCTAAGGCAAGCACATCTTCTGTAGTGTTACCAAACCAAGAATTTATCAATAAATTCATATAAATTGTATTACTACTCTTCTTTTCATTGGTGTTATATTTATTGGTTGCCAAAGTATATCCTCTAACTGTAAAACCACTACACGGTCATGAAACGGAACTTGAAAACTAGAATGGATCCATGCATATGTACACACACACACACACACACACACACACACACACACACACACACAAGAAAAGAATCAGCTGTAATTACAGTGCTTGTTAAGAACCATGGTTGCTGCCTAGTTTTGATTCTGAATCTTCCAAAGGTACATTTGCTGATGGCTTTCGGGCTTGCTGATGCTCAGCCTGTGGCATCCCTGGGAAGTTGTACAACCATTAAGAGAAACCGTTTGAGAAAGTTAGGTCTCTGGGGGAGTTCTTTTGAAAGAGATGTTGAGATGGAAGTACCTTCTCTTTTTTTTCCTTATTATCATGAAACAAGAAGCTTCTGGGACAGTCTCTCTTGAGTATTCTCCTATTTGGCACAGGTCCCAAAGCAATGTAGACACATAACCAGGGATAGAAAGTCTATTGCTAGCCCAAAATAAACCTTTGCTCATGGGTTGCTACATCTCAGGTATTTGTTACAGTGACATAAAGTTTATTAACATACCTATTATTTTGACAAATACACATAAAACATTACAGGTATACCAGATATGCTTAAGCATTTTGTAACATTCTGTAATGGTCAGTTTTGCAGCGGTATAATGTTGGCTACAGTGGCAAATAACCAAAGCAAGTAACTTACAAAGAGAAAAGGGGCTTTTTAGCTTATAGACTTAGAGGTTCAAAGGTTATCCTGCATTGGCTCAGTTCTGTGAGGGTAGCAGAAGGTAGCATATCAAACAGGAGCATATTCATGAACAAGCCATGAATTATATCTTGAACCAGGAACAGGGGCCTACAGTCTAGGCTACCACAATCCTCTTTGAGGAAAATCTCTAATGACCTAAGGACATTCATTCTAATAGGGCCCTACCTGAAAAAAGGTTTCCCTGCCTCTCAATAGCACACACTGGAGACCAAGCTTTTATCACATGGCTCTTTGGAGGCAGTTCAGATTCAAGCTATATATCCTGACCAAAAGTTCCAAAAGTTCATGTCCATTTCACAATTCAAAAGTGGATTAATGCCAGGCCTTAATCTAGAGAGGCAGAGGCAAGCAGATCTCTGAGTACAAACGCCAGCCTGGTCCACAAAGCAAGTTTCAAAACATTCAGGGCTATACAGAGAAACCCTGTCTCAAAAAACAAATCTAACAAATAATAATGGATTAATTCAATGTCTGAATCCAGTCCCAAAATCTACTGTTCTAGCAATGGACATCTAACTCCAAGGTCTCAAGACTCAGGACAGTTGTGAGCCTCTGTAAAAAGAAAGAACCAGAAAAACAAATAGGAAAACAAAAACAAAACACAAATCACATACAAAATCAGTGGAGTCAGACATCAAATAAACATTCCCTATTCTGAAAAGGAGTCATGGAGAAATAAAAAGAAGCATCATCCCCCAATCAAGAAAAGGGGAAACATCAAACACCAAAGATCTTTGCCTGGTACCAAGGACTCACTATGGTGGGCTTCAGGCTCCCAAAGAGCATGGCCATTTTCACTTCTATGGCTTCGGAGGTTGCATCCTACGTGCCTGCTCTTTCAAACTGATTTTCACACTTCCTGGATCCTTCCCTCACAGGTGTGGCAGGTTGATGGCACCTCTTCTGTCCTTGGGTCTTTATTATAGCTTTGGCTTCTCCCACTCAGCTTTACTACTTAGCACTGCATTGGGTGTGGCAATCTAGCTAGACAGCTCTGCCTGGCTTCCCAGGCTTTGAGATCTGATGGAAGCTTCCATGACCACATAACTTGTAATTTGCATAACTGTAAAACCAGCATCCGACGGATGACATTTGGGTCTTTTGCCTCAAATATGGAATGAAGACTGGCTGGATGCCAAGACATAAAACCTGGGTATCCATGGGAACATAAAATACCCTCAGTCTCCTGGAATGATTGGAAAAGCTTTGAAATAGATGTTATTTGTCTTGAGCTTGCAAAGGTCTTATGTATGCTGTCTTAACTGCTTTGAATTCATATGTGAAACTGGCCTGAAACATTTTTTTTCTCATAGTCATCTGTTGCCTCTGACTCCAACAATTTCTCTGTTCCCCTACTTCCAATATATATATATATATATATATGCACTCTAAAGTCTCTTATTCTCTGCATCTTGATCAGTTGTGGATCTTTATGTAACTCATCATCTACTACAAAAAAGAGCTCCTCTGTTGAGGGTTGAGAGATCCACTAATCTATGGGTAGAGCAATGCGTCATTAAGAACAAGTTTAATGCAATGGCCATCTAGTAGAGCAACAGTAGTCGTAGGTTCTCTCTTGGAACTATGAGTTGTCTAACCATGAGATCTTGCACCTGAAATTAATGCCAAGTACAAACTTCAACTTATGGAGTATGCCTTAATTTCATTCATAAAGTACTTGGTTGCTCTCATGACGTAATGCCACCACTGTACCAGTGAGCATGTCTTGCCTGGCCAGTCATTATTGTAGCTCACCATGTTCATAGATGGGGTTGGATTGGTGATTATTTTCTCTGGTAGTGTACATAGCACCTTCCATCACTACAAAAATTAGCCAGAAGGAGTGGAGCTTCTCAAAAAGTACCATTTTGAGTTCTTTGTGTCCTGTGACTCAAGTATGTAGTGTCTTCAGCAATAGTGCCTTACCATCCAGTTCCAGAAGGTAATCAAGAGTGTTGGGAATAGCCTGTCATATTGGGGGAGTCCCAAAGAATCCCAGTGACCAACAACTCCAAATATACAACATGAAAAACACCAAGAAAGAAATCAGGAAAATAGTTCCACTCATAATAGTCTCAAAAATATCTCGGAATGTACCTAACCAAGGAAGTGTAAGACTTATACAATGAACATTTAATATACTGAAAAGAGAAACTGAAGAAGATACCAGGAGATGAAAAGATTTCTCATGCTCATGGAGTGGCATGATTAATATTGAGAAAGTAGCCATTTACAAGTCCGTTGTAATCCATCAACATTCCAATGCAATTCTTTATAGAAATTTGAAAACTAATCTTAAATTTTATATGGAAACCCAAAGACCCATGATAGCTGAAACAATCTTGAACAATAAAAACACTGGAAAGTATCACCCTTCCAGATTTCAAATTAATAGTCCAGAGATGTAGTGATAAGAAAAATATGGTCCTGGCATTAAAGCAGATACACTAAACAATGGAATAGAATTGAGGATGCAGATATAAGTCCATACACTTAAAGCTACTATATATTTTGACACATAAGCCAGCAACACATATTGGAGTAAAGGCAACACCTTCTATGAATGATGCTGGTCAAACTGGATACTTACATATAGAAGAATGAAACTAGCTCTTTATGTCCCACCCAGCACAAAATTCATCTCCAGATGGATCAGCATAAGACCTGATTAGCCCACTATCTCCAAGGTCAGCTTTCCTCAAAGTCTCAGTGCACACACAGAGTATAACTAAATTATTCTGATTCTTCCCGCAAAGAATGAGCATTATGGGCTCCCCTCATAGCATTGTAAGCCTTCTCAAGGATTCTCTTCCAGATTTTCCCATCAATCCGTTCTAACAGTTCTTCCAACCACTGGACAGTGACGATTTCACTCTTGGTACCAGTTTCCTCTCTATGTTATCTTCATGTTACTCTAAGGAAACACAAGAAGCAATTAACTAACACATATAAGATTTATGTAATCTATACATTTATGATCATTTCTTACTTCCTAGGTAGTAGTCAAGGAAGCGAAGCTGGAAGGCTTAATAGAGTTACAACATACACGCACACACAAAATGGGTTGTATGTGAATCAATCATCATTGTCATAAACTAAAAACTAAAAAAAAAAAGAAAGAAAAGAAATTTTTGCTTGGAAAACCAATATAGCTCACTAATCCCTCACTAGCTTCATTGTCCAAGTGCCCTTTATAGACAATCTATTAAAGGAATTTTGCTTTTTAAAAAAAAGTGTGTGTGTGTGTGTGTGTGTGTGTGTGTGTGTGTGTGTGTGTGTTAGTCAGGGTTTGTATTCCTGCACAAAACATCATGACCAACAAGAAAGTTGGGAAGAAAAGGTTTATTTGGCTTACACTTTCACATTGCTGTTCATCACCAAAGGAAGTCAGGACAGGAACTCACACAGGGCAGGAACTTAGAGGCAGAAGCTGATGCAGAGGTCATGGAGGGCTGCTGCTTACTGGCTTGTTTCCCCTGGCTTGCTCAGCTTGCTTTCTTATAGAACCCAGGACTACCAGCCCAGGGATGGCATTACCCACTATGGGCTGGACCCTCTCCACTTGATCACTACTTGAGAAAATGCCTTACAGCTGGATCTCATGGAGGCATTTCCTTCTCAAGAGAGGCTCCTTTCCCTTTCTCTGTGATAACTCCACTTGTGTCAAGTTGACACACAAAACCAGCCAGTACATTGTGCCAGCATGTATGTGCATTGTGTGTATGCAGGTGCCTGTGGATGCCAGAAGAGGACATCAGATCCCCAGGAACAGGAGTTTGTGAGGAACTGTAATGTGGGTGCTGAGAAGCAAACCCAGGTCCTCAACAATAGCAGCAAGTGCTTTTAACCACTGAACCATCTCTCCAGCTTTGTCATTATGCATCTTGTCATGCTTTGCACACTCATGCTGGGTGCCATTTTAAAAGATGTTCCCTATCTCTACCCTGCTGACAGTTACAGCCTTTTGGTATGACTCTGAAACTCTTTCCCTCAAGAATGTTTGTCCTTAGAGTCCTGACTTGCCTCAGCTAGTAGAAGGCATTGGTGCCCATTCAAAGTTGAGCCCCCACTAGAATTCCTCATTTCTCCTCACTCTCTTGGATCCTGTTGCATTGCCACGAGAACTGCCTGAGCGAGCCTTGCCTGATGGCACCTCAACACTTGTATCTTCTCTGCCAATACCAAGCCCTTGTCACAAGTGTCTC